TGAGAGGTAGAAAATACAGATGGAAGAGGTGGAAAACAGGACCAGAAAAACAGAATAAAGGGGAGGAGGTAAATAAGTGAGAAAAACAATGCACAATGTTTTTAATCAATAATTAAAACATAAAATTAAAATGTCTTGGCATCACAAGTATTGTTTCTTACAATTTTATGTTCCAGCAAAGACAACTTAATATAAACAAGTTTAGAGTAATGGATAGCAAAAGAATATCACTCTGGTTTCAAAATGGAGATGTTTTTGTATGATGCAACCTTCTTATAATGAACTATTATGGATAAAATCAATTCAGAGAAAAAACAATGGTGATAAAACTACCTATTTGCCTCATAAGAACATTTCAAAAAACAGGACTATGTAGCACTTTAAAGACTAACAAGATGGTTTATTAGATGATGAGCTTTCGTGGGCCAGACCCACGAAAGCTCATCACCTAATAAACCATCTTGTTAGTCTTTAAAGTGCTACATAGTCCTGTTTTTTGTTTCACCTACACCAGACTAACACGGCTACATTTCTAAGAACATTTCAGTATATCTAAAAAATAAATGAAACATAGTAAGCCTAGGGATCTTCAGAAAGATTTAGCGCATACACAGAAGCTTCTTAATATAGTACAGTCCATTCCATTTAATCAAGACATTTTAACTAGGAAGTCAATTTAATGGGTACATCTCCCAAGGAGCTGATTTCATCTAATGACAGTGAACAACAATGTCTGTTACTTAATTGGCACAATATTAGGAGAAATTCTGCATAATGGAGATGCATTTGGCTGGTGTATGTGGGCTCAATGACGTTGAGAGGTTGTAAATAGGTGTGAAACGCTAACCTCTTAATATAAGTTGATTATTTCATTCAATTTCTATTTTGACAAAAATTCAGTGAAAAATTTTTCTTCTACTTTTATTCAGTACAATATTTCATTTTAAATATTTAATTTTTGTAAATGGACTCTTATTTTAAACTTATATGCAGGCCCCCATTAAAATCAATAGCAACCTTTTCAAAGCACTCAAAGAGGACTTGTGACCTTAAGAGTTCTTTGGTGCCAACTGACCAGGAGATTAGAAGAAGATCCTGATGGCTCTAAGTCAAAAATATAGGTAGTGTACTTTAATCTGTTGTAGCTTTACATATGTTCATTAAATAAGGATGCTTTTCAGTGCTTTCAAATGTTGGAACTAAGTTATTATTTATTAGTTATATCAAACAACATGAAACAATAAAAGACCAGTTGAAATTTTCATCTGTCATGGCTGAAGGCTATCTATTTCATTCTGCTTTAATGCTTATTTAGGAAAGTATACAAGTTGGGCACTGGAATGACTATTTCCCAGAACAGGTGGGCCCGTCACATGGAATAGTTATCCCATTAAATAAGCATCAGTGAATTATGCACAGAATTGAGATGGATAAAATTTATTTTCTCTTCTTCTGAGTGTACCAGTGTCTCCTTGACTAATGTGTCTAAACACATTCTTAACATTCAGTCTTCCATTTTCTTACTTTATGTCTATTCCATCTGGAATTTTCACTTGTTAGAGACTTCAGTTCAAGCCTTCATCCTTATGTAGGAACAGGGACATCTCTGTGTATCACATAAAACTGCCTTTGATCCTTGATAGCCATTCTGTATTTAAGTTTATGCTTCTTAACTGAAGTAGTGACCCCTTCTCTGGTTGAAACTTATGGTTTAAGGACCATACTCCCTCCAAAATGCCTATCTGCTGCAGTATTTTCTTCACTGTTCAGCTAGGCTGCCTGAATGTCAGCAATTATAACGGCTCAACTGCACTGTTCATTAACAGTGACCCACAAAGCTGATCTTTTCTCCCAATCCCCGCGTAACACGTCCAAAGCAATCCCATAAAAGAACTAGCAACACAGAGAATATGGGATGTTATTGTACAAAGCCACAGAACCATAACAGATTATTGCATTTATTTCATACTAGCATGATAACAGCTGTAATGCTGACTTTAACTATTGTTATTGTAATCAAATGATTCATTGTGCAACCACAAAAAGAAAGAATGCATGGACAGCAATGAATTTGCAATTATAAAACATGGTATAAGGAGATGGCTCTCTCCACTACAAAGGTATGAAATGTACTGTCCCATTGACATGATGGATTTATAAAGGTAACTTCCATTAAAGCAAACATTTCTATATATTTTATTATCAAGACATTCTGATTTATACCATATCAATCATAAATGTAAGTTAAATTAACACTACAACTGTAGTGTTCAAGTGTCAGAACTAAGTTCTTTTAGTTATATCATATACATCATGAAACAATAAAAAAAACTATTGACGTTTTTCATCTGCTTCTCCTGTAGTATTTATAGAGAACGATAAACAATCATGATTAGTTTATCTTGCAATAAGAAGTATACAGCAAAGGGAATAAAGTTATAAATCAAATAAATGATTCATAGTGAAGGCTTTATTCATTTCATATCGGCTTGCACTATTTGCCACTATCTAATCCACTTCAGATAGTCCAATGTCATGCAAATACAGTTGATTCTCACCATTTTGCAGACTGACATTATAATTTGCTGAATTTTATGAATTCTCATACACAAAAAGCAATACCACAAAAATACTTGGAGAATTATAGATTATTCAGTTATTGATAATACATCAGTATATAGTACTGATGCACGTAGCACAGCACAGATCTCTGTAATGTGACTCAACTACAGCATTCTGCTTAGTTACTGTTCTTATATTAAAAATTATACTTAATTTTTGTGACTACCTGCTGTAACAGAAAAACCTACTACAATTTTAAATTCCTGACATGAATATAAATATTCTGATCTACACATGTTGATACAAGATTCAATTAATGATTTCAGCAAAGCACTTAAGCATATGCTTAACATGAAGCACGTAAGTAGTTCCATTTGCCTTAAAATAGGTCTACTTCAGTAGTGAAAGCATTCATTATAATACTTTCTGTTACGCCAGTTTTCATCTTGTTTAGTGCATTTCCCTTTCCTCCTACACTGCAGGTTAAATGCTCCCTTTGGGGTGGATGTGATTGGCAAAAGTTACCAGGATTAGCGTGGCTATTCCATGAGACTAATTGATCTTAGGTTCTAGGTTTGTTTTAATATTTTATATGCATTAATTTATAGTAATGTTGTTACAACTCTGTGCTGTACAGAATTATCACAGGTGTAGGGAGCTATTAATTACACATATTGCAATAGCTCCCCAAAGCCCCAGAAACAAGATCTGATTATACCAGTTACTGGTGACAGGTGAAGAAGGACATGGTGAGGAGGTGTGGGTGTGTGTGGGGCAGGAGGGAGGGAAGAATTCCAACCATGTGACTGCTCTACAACATGATTTCTCCCTGCTGCTACCTCTAGCCTGGGGGAGGGCTGGATAATGCCTCCTCTGCCTCAGGCCATGCCCCTGCTCCATCCACCCCACCCCATTTCTTTTCTCAAACCTCTTCCTCAGAGTGACATGGCTCAGGAGCCTAGTGGGGGGGACGGGAGGAAGAGGGCTGACACTGGCAATACAGATCCCTCCCCTGCACTCACCAGCAGTGATGGGAGGAAGCAAAGTGACACAGATCCAGCCCTCACTCAGCTATCCAGCTCCTGGACAAGTTGCTTCACTTCCTGCCAGTGAAAAGGGGAGCAGTCCTGCCCTTACCCCAAGTGGCATGCCCCAGTGAGTTCAAAGCACCAGCACCTCCCCCCCCCCCACTAGTTCTGTGGGCTGACCAGGGATTCTAGCCCCTTGTCCCTCCCACCCATAGCTTATTGGAGGGAGGGGTCATGCCCCAAGGACCCATCTCACGAGTTGCCCCTGTAGGCATTCCACCAATAAAAAGATTGTCTTTGCATCTAAAAAGCTTACAATCTAAAGGCTTCTCTACATAGGAAATTATACTAGTACAGGTTTAATACTGTAACTTTCCATGTGGAACTCTTATTCTGGAATAAGACTGGCCTTTTTCAGCTTAGTTTACACCCATTTCAAAGCAACATAAACAAGAAAATGACCCTCTTAGATGAGAATAAGAGTATCAACTTGGGAGTTATATGCGTATACCTATAATGATATCAATTCACGGCCTACCTTACAAATTGCCCTAAATTACATGTCAGTACCCTCTCTCAGCCAGATAATTTGGTCACAGGGAATAGTTTCTATAGGCACTGAAGATCCAGAGTCATGTGGAAAGGATATGTCTTATTCCATTTTTGTTAACTAACCAGTATACACTGCTAACTACTTCAAATTTCTCCCCTTATTTTTTATCATAATAATAATAATAATAATCTATGCAGCACCTCTACCAAAACTTATTTTTAGATAATTATTGATTTGGTATTTTATCAGTACTCTTCTAAGAAAAACATTATGTTATTTTATTGTCAAGAACCATATATATTTTGAATCACATTTCTGATTCTTATTGCACTGTCATCTATGTGTATTAATACATTTTTTTTTAAAAGACTACAGTACTGTATTTAACGAAAAGATTAACATCACTTCTGGACAATTTGAGGATAAACAGATTTGAAGTTCTTCTATCTTAAACATCTGAAGCTTTTGACTCTACACATTCTTTAAAAAGTTCTAAGATTCCTAGAACACCTAGAAAATGGAACCTCCCATTATAACTGAAATATGTCTGTTTCAGGTAAAATTAGTAGATGCGATCTATGACAGATCACGACAATACATGTGAAGCCATATACTTGTTTAAGAAATCAAGTTATTTAAAATACTAACAAGTTCAAATTCTTTACCTCCAATCATTTTTTCCCTACTTTAGCAAAAAAATCATGTACAATACCTATTTCAGTTAGGATCTTGATTTGCATACACCAGATAATTCAAATGAAATTTGGTCCAAAAATATCTAATGAATCAATACTATCAAGATACAATAAATATTCAGAGTATAATAGGCAGTTAGTTATATTAATCACTTCACATACCTGTGGTTTTTCAGGTTCCTGTGCTTAGTCATGTGTACACGCTCTTCATTTTCTTATAGAGAAAAATAACTTCTGCCAGTTTTTATTCTTGGCTTCTGCACTGCCACCTGTAGTCATACAGGAGAAATTAGTCACATATTATCTTGAAAAGTCTACTATCACAATAGATTTTACTATACAGTCATACTAGTAAAATTTTCTCAGTAGCATGGGGACAGTTACAATACTTCTACTGTGTTATTTGTAAACATCTTTGTAAGGAGAGATATGATTCCAACATAATTTAATTCAATTGAACATGTAAAGGTCTTAAAAGGTCCTAAAAGAAAAAAAAACACCTTGTATCCCACCATCCACTCCTATGTTGTTTAAATGGACACTTTTTAACCCTGCAAGGCAATACTATAACTTTTTCAAATACAGTAAAATATCCGTACTTAGTTTTCTTTCAAATATAAGACTATCCCAACTTGCCATTCTATTTAAAACATCAACATTTTACATAGATGTACTTTTAATGAATTTCTTGGTTAGTCCATATAATTTGTAATGATATGCACAAAAATTAATGTTGACAACATGAAATAATTAGATGTCTTACTGAAAATAAACTATGCTAAACTCTAATTTTCACATTGCATTAAAAATCTATTTTAAATTTACTGCAATAAATTAGAAAATAATCTTTACTCCAATATACCACATTCTCCAGATTCAAGCATTAATCCAGTGGTCAAACACCCACGTTTTGGTACTGAAAGACATCACAGTCATCTTATTTTTTGAGGAAAGGAATATTTTAGTTGTAAACGCAAAGCCTATTTGTATGTAGAATCTTTATAACACTCAGCAACTGAGTGTGAGTCTCAAAGGAAAATAATCTTTTGGAAGGTTATAGTTCTTGCCATGTGCACTCTCTCCCTTGGCTCCACTTATTAATTTTTGATATCTTGTCTATAAGTAACTACACTCTGCCTAGAAAATGCTATCAAGTCATTTACTATTTGAAACTAAATCATTTCCTCCTGCCACTGCGTTTCTCATATTTGAAATCTGAAATCATAAAAGCCTTTTATAATTAACACTGCTGCATATGATCTAAGCATCTAAAAACACACATTTGAAGAGAAACATATTTATCCCAAAGCAGCGACTAAATGATTTTTCCAAGGAACTGTCCCTAAAACAAAAAAGGGGCTATATTGCGTCGTGCCGAGCATATGCAAAGCCAGGGGAAACCCTGACTGCCCCTCGCTTTGCTCCCCTTGAAGTTACTAGCCAAAATTTCACTGCAAGAGGAATTGGCGTTTTCCACATGACAGCCCACATTGCTCACTAAAACCGCCAATCGGTCCCCTGTCAAAATGCAGCCACCTTGGGCACCTCCGCTGCACAGCGTGGCTCATATCAATCTCCTAATGCAAGCAGTCTACATAACTACACGGCAAGTAAGTAATGCCACCCCCCCCCCCCCCAGACACACACACATATGTTGTCTGACTACACATCACACAGGGATGAAGCTGAAGATCCAACAAAGATTTAACTGAAATCAGCAGAGAAGGCGTTTGTCTCTCTCCCTCACACACACACACACGTTCCCGTTTGCAGCCGGGAACAGACACGTTCAGCGCTACAGGGTCCCGTGCCT